ATCCTTCTTCTTCACAAACAAAACTGGAGCACCCCAAGGAGATGCACTTGGTCTAATGAAGCCTTTGCTCAACAACTCTTGAATTTGTGCTTTTAACTCTCTTAACTCCGCGGGAGCCATTCTATAAGGGGGTATAGAAATGGGGCGAGTACCCGGTTCAAGGTCAATACAGAAATCAATATCTCTATCCGGTGGCATGCCAGGAAAGTCTGCAGGGAACACATCCCGAAACTCACGGACCACCGAAACCGACTCAATCGAAGGCACTTGGGTAGTGTCATCCTTGAGATGTGCCAAGAAGGCTAAACACCCTTTACTAACCATTTTCTTAGCACGAAGAAAGGAGATGATACGCACCGGATTGGAAGTGTAGTCACCCTCCCACACTAACAGATCTGTCCCAGGCTTGGCTAACATCACGGTTTTAGCATTACAATCCAAGATTGCAAAATTTGGAGAAAACCAAGTCATACCCAGAATTACATCGAAGTTAACCATTTCTTGAAAGGATTTTGGCTTAGCCGCTACCTGTAAGGCTGAAATCCGCAACTCTGACCTCATATGGATTGACCGACATCCTACCTTGCTCTAGGCTCAAGAACTCATCCCTTTTCCTATCCCTCAAAGTCCGGGGGATATACTTCTCCATAAACAAGCTAGAGAATGAGGCCCAAGTCATAGGTGGTGCCTCTGTTGGTTGACACTCAACATGTGACCGCCACCACATTTTGGCGTTCCCTTAAAACTGATAAGTCACAAACTCAACACCAAACCGTTCTACTATACCCATCTTGTGTAATAGCTCATGACAGTCAACCAGAAAATCGTAGGCCTCCTCATATTCAGCACCCTTGAAGACTGGAGGTTTCAATTTCAAGAACTTACTGAAAAGTTCATGCTGATCATTTGTCATTATAGGCCCAGTAGTCAGACGTGGAAACGTGCCTATGTCCAATGAAGCATCCATACGAGGAGCCATAGTGGCTGCATGTTGTACCTCTGAAACCGGAGGTCTTGGTGCAGAAAACACTGGAGGGGCCTGACCATGATCAGACAACCCACTAAGATAAGCGAGAACCTGATTGATCATCTCTGGGGTAGGTTGGGGTGGAAATTCCTCATTTTGCACTTGTTCATTCTCCCCTTCCTCACCCTCTCTTACCACTTCCTCAGTCGGTGGAGGAGTCACCGCCCTAGTATCAGACGGGCTAGGTGCTCGCCCTCTTCCTCTAGAGGACGTCCTCCCATGACCTCTACCACGGCCTCTTGCCGCTACTCTTCCTCGAGCTACAGCCCCAGTGGCTAGCTCAGACGCTTCTTGTCTTGCCGATGTTGGTGTTGTCGCAGTCGTTGCTCTAGTTCTAACCATCCGCGAAATAGAGTGAAGATGGTCAGATACCAATTTGTATCACCTAGATACCAATTGGATCCAAGTAATAGCACGAAAGAAAGAAAGAATGGAATTTTCCTAAAGTCTTATAGCCTCTCAAAGAAAAGTAAAGGCGTCCCCCTACCGTTCCTTAAGACTCTAATATAATCGTTTTTGTGTGATGAGACCAACGAATCTAATGCTCTGATACCAAGTTTGTCACGACCCAAATCCGGGCCGCGACTGGCACCCACACTTACCCTCCTATGTGAGCGAACCAACCAATCTAGACCTTAACATTTTAATATAATATCAACAGAAAGTAATGCGGAAGACTTAAACTCATTAACAAAATCAATAACTATTATTATCCCCAAAATCTGGAAGTCATCACCACAAGAACATCTATGATCAAATTACTAAACTAAGAGTATTCTAAGAAGCTAAAACAAATAAAAGTTAGTCCATGCCGGAACTTCAAGGCATCAAGACATGAGGAAGAAGATCCAGTCCAAGCTAGAAGCATTAGCTCACCCTGAAGATCCGATGTGACGAAGACTGGCTAGAATTACTGTTGAGTTGAAGACGACGGCACGTTTACTGCACTCCACAAATAACAAAGAAGAAAACATAAAAGTAGGGGTCAGTACAAAACACGGGTACTGAGTAGATATCATCGGCCAACTCAAAATAGAAAACAGTATATATCAGATAATATCATAAAATCAATTAATATCCTTAGCATGCAGCATTTACAATTATCATAACCCTTGGTTACAACACCAAGCTCATCAATGAGGACTCACGCCTCCTCATCATACTCATTTGGGAATTAGGTTCATTAGATTGAATATATTAACATCTTTCAAGATTCATTATCTTTATTCCTCTCGTGTCGGTACGTGACACTCCGCTCCTCATATACTATCCTGGTACCGGAACGTGGCACCCGATCCATATTCTATCCTGGTACCGGAACGTGGCACCCGATCCATATACTATCCTGGTGTCGGAACGTGACACTCCGATCCTCATTCTATCCTAGTACCGGAACGTGGCACCCGATCCATATTCTATCCTGGTGTCGGAACGTGACACTCCGATCCTCATATACTATCCTGGTACTGGAACGTGGCACCCGATCCATATTCTATCCTGGTGTCGAAACGTGACACTCCGATCCTCATATACTATCCTGGTACCGGAACGTGGCACCCGATCCATATTCTATCCTGGTGCGGAACGTGACACTCCGATCCTCATATACTATCCTGGTACCGGAACGTGGCACCCGATCCCCTAATCTCACTACTTTCGTTCATCAAGCCTTCTTTTATACCAAGGCATCATCATTAACAAAGTAGATTAGGGTTTGCAAGATTTGAGATTCAATAACTTCATCATGCTTATATAATCACAATTATATAATTACGTTAATGCAAGCATACAATTAAGCACATAGCAGGGTTTACAATATTATCAATACATATCATTCGCTATTAAGAGTTTACTATGAAAGCATGAAAACCATAACCTACCTCCACCGAAGATTCGTGATCAAGCAAGCAATTTCCCAAGCTTTGTGTTTTTCCTCTCGTTCGATCCTCTCTCTCGTCCAACTTTCTCTCTCTTTCTCTTGTTCTTTCTATTTTCTTTATTCAAACCCTCTTTCTTTTACTCTAATTAGTATATAATTAAGAATGAAAGATGGCAATAATAACTCACTAATTAACTTAAGGTTAACTCTTTTAACCCCAAGTAATTAGACTTATTAACATTAACCCACTAACTTTATAATTAAGGCAGGAATAGTCAAAAACGTCCCTTAAAACGTATAAAGAAATCCGACCCAGACTGGGATTTCGCTGTCTGTGACGGCCCGTCGCGCCTGCGACGGTCCGTCCTGCTGCCCGTCACAGAGTTCAGAGACTCAATTTCTCTGAAGGGTCTGTGACGGTCCGTCACACCTGTGACAGTCCGTCCTGCCATTCCGTCACGAAGTTCAGAGAGTCGATTTCCAGTACCCAATTTCATATTTTCTAAGTGTTTTGAAACGAGACCCTGCGACGGTCCGTCGTGCCCATGACGGTCCGTCGTGGGTCCGTCGCTTCTGCCAGTTTTTCCAGAATTGAAATCTGCTGCTCAAAACAACTAAACAGGTCGTTACAAAGCAGGGGCGTAGCTTTACTTGAAAAATAAAATTATATATATATATATATATATATATATATATATATATATATATATATATATATCTATTTATTTATTTATTTATTTATTTATTTTAAAAGCTTTTGGGCTTTGCATAGTAGTAATATTCATTCCATTTGAAGGGAGTTCTAAGTTCAAAACCAACCCCAAATATCATAATGGAGTATTATTTTTTTTAATTTTACTTTGACAGACACACACTATTATTTTTGGACATCTTGATATAATATTTAATGGAATTTGGAGAGCCATCCAAATTTTTATATGGTTTTAAGTGTTTAAAGTTATTAATTATTGTGACTTATGTTAATTTTTTTTACATAAATTTAAATAATATAATATTGCTCAATTTATCCCAATTTATGTAACACGTGATATAATTTTTAAAATTAACCAATTTTTTAATTTCTTATTATACTTCAAGTTGTAAATTATTGTAATTATGGTATTTTTAATGTAATTTTCAAATAATAAATGTTAATTTCTCTGTTTCAATTTATGTCACACTAGTAGAATTTCGAGAGTTAGCCAAATCTATTTTGACTTTCACATATTTTAAGTTGTTAATTATTGTGATTTATACTACTTTTTATATCATTTTCAAATAATATATGTTGTTTTCTCTTTCCCATTTTATGTGACACCGATAAAATATCATAGTAAACCAAATATTTTTTTTATGTCACTCGAATATTTTAAGTTGTTATTTTATTGTGATTTTTAGTAATTTTTTACATCATTTTGAAATAATATATGTTATTTCTTCTATCTCATTTTATGTAACTATTTCAAAAATAAACCAAAATTTCGTATGTTATAAAAATATTTAAAGTTATAAATTATCGTGATATTATAATATTATTTAGGTAATTTTCAAATATATAACAATTTAAAAAAGAAACATAAAGCAAACAATACTTTTTTAAAAAAAAATACTAAACTTCTTGTTGCTTCTACAAAATTACCAAATTACCCTTCTCTTGAACAAAATCACCAAATTACCCTTGTCTCCAAAGCAAGCATGTTGACGAAGACCTACTTCTTTATACAATAGAAAAAAAAAATATAAACTTAAGTTCATGTACTCATATCGGTTACAAAAAAATATTTATATATAATCTAACAAAATATTATATGAACGCAATAAAATAGGGAGGGGTGATTCAGGAGTGGTGGGGTGGGATGATCGTATTTTTTAAGAAGCCTTGTTTTCTTGAAGAAAATATTTTTAAAAATATTTTAACCAATCAAACATAAAATATTTAAAAATATTTTCCAAAAAAATATTTTATACCAAACTCACTCGAATTAAATGGCGTTTGTGAGTCTATAGGCTATAGCAAATACATGCAATGAGATTCCTTAAATAATCTCACTGCCACATTTTGATTAGACTAATGTTTGTTTGGAAATTGAGATCTAAAAAGATTATTAGTTTCTTTATATATCTTATCATGATATATAAACAAATAAAGGAACATAATCTCACATTATGAACGACTTGCCAGCTTGAATACTATGAACTCTTAACATGTTGGATTATAGTAAAACAATACATATATATATATATAGATGTTGGATTTATGAGATCTGGATGATCGAAGAGAATTGGTAATGTGATCACGAGGTCAAAAGTTCAACCTGAGGAAACAACAGATGCATGATAAGACTACGTACAATAGACCCTTGTAATGTAGCCCTTTTCTAGACCCCATGCATACCAGACTGTCCATAAGACTTGCACAAGACAAGAATGATAGTTGTCGATTCAAAAACACAGTAACGGGGACTGAAAAACGTGTCATCCTCGAATGAGCATCAAACCAATGCCTGTAACAATGAGGGTAGACGGAACTCCAAATTTGAGATGACTCCAGAAGGAGAGATTGTAGCCAAAGTGTTGAGCCCGACGAGCCTGTTCACACACTATTAAGTTTGCTGCTGAGCCTAAGAGTGAAAGGTTCCCTGCCACGGTGCTGACCCATGCTAATATGAGCCACGCTTTCTGCTCACTCTCAGGAGATATTGCAGCTGCTGATGCAGCAACTCGTCCTCCGAGCAGCAATACTAAGGCCAAATTAAAAAAAACATTGTAACTATAATTAAGATGCAGTTTTCTCTGTTTCTTCATCTTCTTACACTTTTCTTAGTCTTGTAACTTTTAATTCCAATACAACTTTTTTTAGCTATTTGTTTTATATATTATTTGTACACATACATACATTCACCAACAATTAAAACATATAATGCGCAAAGAAATGAAATCCAAGTAAAAAAAAAGAAAGACAGGGTTGATTTAAGGGGTCAAAAAGTGCAGGAGACGCATACCAGTAGGCACATTTGAAGCCACATTTGACAGGACCAGAATGACAAGTGCAAGAACTGCTATGCCTGCAGCATGATCTATCTTGGAATATGGCTCCATAAAATCCCAAAGAGCACTTGGAATCCCAGTTTTGTTAAAGCCGTCAACCGTGATAAACATACCACAGAAGAATATCAAAAGCGAATACGAAACCTGTACAATCGAAAGAACAGAATGAAGAAGACATACATCAAATGATAACCACATTACTGTTAACCAATTCTCTGCTACCTTTTCTAAGCTAGGTCTGGCATCTTTGAAATCAAGAACCACGAGCGCAAGTGCTGCAGTGATAGCAGTCCAAGACATGTTCAGACCCATTAGCAAAGCTATTAACATACCCATGGTAACAAGATAGACACATATTTTCCACAGCTTATTTCTCCATACTTTTGGGAAGTAGCACATTTCGTCGTAAGCTCTGAAGTTTTCATCATCTTGATATTCATCTCTCTTTGAAGACACATTCTCCTCTCTTTTCATTAGTGATCCATCATTCGTTGAGGCATTTGAATTCCTAGACGAATCAAATGCCTTTTGTATTTCACACTCTCCAACAATGACACGATTCCTAAGCGTCTCCGCATGATTTGCGTGACCATTCACTCCTAACGAATTATTCAATTCTTGAGAATTCAAGGAAGTGAGATGTGACAATGTCGCTGGAGAAAACCTATGAGAAACGACTTCCTCTTCAGGAACTAGTTCCGCAGCAGCATCCTCTACATCCTTTTGTACAGACAACAACTTCCAATACATACAAAGCAGAAGCAGAGCATTAACAGTTACGCCAACAAGCATTGCAGGAAAAATACCAAATAAAAACTTGCCAAAAGATATCTTGCTTTGTACTGCTATAACTAAGTTCTGTGGATTCCCAATTGGAGTTACTGAAGATCCAATGTTCGCACTGGAAGCAAGAGCTAACAGAAACGGATGTGGTGGTAGATTCTGTTGCCTAGCTATTTTCAATACAAACTCGGTTAATACAACACAAGACGTATCATTCGTAAAAAAAGCACTCGAAACAGCTGAGATCAAGCAGATTCTACAGAGCAAATCCTTAGCTCCTTGACTCTTCCAAGCCAACAATTTACCCAAGTATTTAAACATATCTGCTCTTTCTAGATAAACACTAACCACCATAGTCCCGAAAAGAAGGCCTAAAATTGGAAGATCAATAGCAGCATATGCTTGATCCGGAGTTATGACTCCAAAAACAACCATAAGCATAGCTCCAAGGAGAGAACCTGCAGTCCTTCCAATAGGCATGAAAGGTACAGCAGGAAAAACAGCCAATACCCAAAATACAACAAAGCCAACGGATCCAAGACCTACTTTAACAGTGGCTGCCATAACCATTTTTATGTTTCAAGATGAAAAAACAAATAGGTACATCAGCAACAACAACAAGGCAAAAATTTGATTTGGATATCTGAAAAGGGTAAGTTGAGGTTTGTTTGACAGATCAAAAATGATGTTACAACAGAGTAAAGGCAATTCTACGTTACACTGAAATCAGCCAAAAAAAAAGGTTTGTCTTTTTGGCATTACTCATTGGATGTGAATAAAGATTTATCATTCAAACACTTTTGATTTAAGGTAAACTGCATTGGATCACTCCTCCGACCCCACTTCAGTATTTATTCCTATCCAAAATACTTTCAACTAAACACAATTTAAACTATCGACCGTCTTAAAAATTATGATTTTTAAATAAATTTACTGTTTTTTCTTATTAGGCAATTGATACTGAAGTTGCAACTCCAAGGTAGTGGTAGGGGAGGTGCCAACCGCAAATTATTTATTCATGCTGTTTGTTTTTTTTTATAAAAAATTGATTTGACTTTCAAAAAATCAAAGATGTACTAATAGCTTTCGATAAAAAAAAAATTATTTATATAAAATAAATATTATTATCAAAATAGTTATATATGTTTAATATTAAATTTCAACTTTTTCATATATTTACTGTTTCTTGTTCTAAATTCTTTAATAAAAATTTCGACAAGCTAGTAACTATAAGTTTCACAAGTCAGAAGAATGTGTAATGATGTAGCATTAATTAAACAATAAATCAAATAGTAATCTGGTGACGTAATTATAACCATGTTAGCTTTCTGAAAATATTACTAAGATAATGAATTATTGAGAACTGGAAAAAAAATCATTAATTAGTATTATTCTTACCTATAATAAATATATACCTATTGTCGGTTGAGACTTGATTGTCAAGTCAGATGTACGTGGACCTTAAATTAGAAATAGATGAACACGATGACCTGGATAATTGTCCACCTCCCAGTTTATGCAACAACTTGGATATGCTATGTGTGTTATAATTTTAATTATTTACGAATATTAATATTTCGAAATTTACAAGTATTAACGAGTCGTTTGATATGAGATATAGAATATAATATGATAATTTTATAGATAAAATATAAATTTTATAATTTCATTGAACTAAATGGATTGTTCATTAAGATAATTCATGAACTTATCCTTATCAGGAATGTGTATTTCCAAGGTACTTTATCCTTAATATGGATATGTATTTCTAAAGTAATATAAATCTTAGTGGAGAACTATGTATCTATTAATTTGACATTCATCGAGGTGACCTTGAAGTGATTTCTCTCTTTATAAATAGAGATATCATTCTCTATGTAAGACACACTTGAAAAAAAAAAGTCTTCTCCTAAATCTACTTTTCTTATCTTCTTCCTTTATACTTGTATTATTCTGAGTTTAGATTTTATAACACGTATTCAGCACGAATATGCTCAAAAGTTGTACCACTTCGCAAAAATGTTTTAGTTGAAACATTTGTGAGCAGGAATATGTTTTATTTATTTTTTCATGTTACACACTTATATTTTTTAAATAAAATCCTCGTATACTAATAATTTATTTTAGTATATTTGTGATTTATGAAAAGGTAGAACATATTGATTTGTTTTACTTTAACAATTTTATACATTGATTTATGATTATATTACCAATTCTTTGTTTCAGAAAAAAATTGAAGGATAGAGAGGTAAATTATCATGTTAATTTTCCAAGTGTTAATTATGAGGAACTTATTAATATTTATAATTGCTAGAGATGAAAAAAACTCTCAATCTTATTTTGACTAAATTTGCTTTTATAATTCTTGATTTCATTTAAAGGCTCATAATTGAGTTCTATTGTATTGACTTATATGACATTGATTGAAGAGTAAGACGATGAATTCAAGTTCCATCGCACCAAAAGGGTAAGACATCTGGTTAAAGTCCGGATCACATAATGAAAAATATTTGAGGATAAAACGATAGATTCAAATTCTATCGCACCAAGGAGTAAGACATCAATTTAAGTTTTGATGCACCATGATGATAAGGTATTGGGTTCAATCTCATAAATTTATGACCTAAGATGACTTTATATGGATAAGACGTGGATTTTATTCTAATGCACCATAATGATGATAATGATGACTAAGACAAATAATATATTTTGATGAAAATTATTGAAATTCATGATATTGAATTTGCTTCATTCTTTGTAAAGAATGTGGTAGCAAAATATGATAACTTTGAAATCTGCAAGTTGACTTGCTCCATTCTATCGTATGAGTGTGGTAGCAATAAATAATTAGTCTAAAAGATGACAAATGATTAACGGTATGAAAAAGGATGTGAAGGGACGAAATTATAATAGTAACTATAAAAGGAAGAACACTATGGGTTCTCCAAATAGTCCTTCAAAATGTAAAGGCAATTTTTATTATCAAAATGATATAAAAGGTCATTGGACTTGTGAATGTTGTCGATCCACTAATTTGACAAGTTTATAAATCATCCATCAAAAGATAAGAAGATAAAGTGATGATACACTTCATCTTTCAAAGTGAAATTGATGTGTGTCATGGAAATATGATGAATTTTAAAGTCATGGCAATGTGTTTATAATGCAAATTTATGAATTTCATATGAATGATTAGTCCATTCCTTGAAGAGAATGTGACTTGTGATGAATATCGTGAATCCTCGACCATTCTATAAGAGAATGAGTCAAAAGATGTGATAGAATCATTATGGGTTGGATATATGCCACAATTCACTTCTATGGGAGGTTTGAAAAAAAAAATACATGTTACAACTCAACTCTACGGAAGGTTTGAGAGAAATAAATAATTTTTTAATTTGACATGAATAACCAATCGTCGTGTAAATTTATACGTCATAAGTATTGTGGTATGTTTATTGTGAACTACCGAAAGGGCAAAAGAAAGAACTAATTCTTGCCAATAAATGTGGTCAATATTGTGTGGCAATACAATTTTGTCATTGGTTGTGTATCTATGGTACAACAAAAGGTAATGTATTGAACATGGTAATAACAATATAATTTCCTTCTTGAAGGAGATGCTCACTATAGGGATCATGTCATTCAATATGTAATAGTACACAAAATTAATAGCAAGCTTTAACGAGTGGTGTTATTACCAAAGGAATAATAAATGGGTTGTAGTAAGAATCAAAAGAAACTTTTTAAGTTTCAAATGAATTGAAAAAATATTGAGACTATAAAAATGAAAAGATTCATTATCTTCAGATTACTACAATCGAAGCAGGTCATAAATATCAATGTAAATGGTTACCCATTGTTTTCTCTTGTGCTGATGAAATCACATGTAAAAGTAAATTGTAAGTGTACTGAAATAAAGATCAGTTGGCATGATCGGTTGACCGTTTCGATTAAAATATGATGCAAAAATAATTGAGAATTCATATAGTTATATACTGAATAAATCAAATATTCTTCAAGAATTCTCTTGTGTTGCTTATTCTCTGATAATTTGATCATCGTATCATTGCACCAACTAAGGTTGAGATTGTACTCCCTGAAGATTTTGGAACATATAAAAAGGTGAATATGGGCTCATACACCTGCCATGTGAATCATTTGCAACTATATGATAGATGCATCTATGCGATGGTCACATGTTCTTTGGTGACAACTTACAAATCGGTGTTTCTAAAGTTGTTTGCTCGAATTGTTAAATTAAGAGCACAATTCCAAATTATGAAATTATATTGATAATGCTAGTTGATTTAGCAGAAATTGTATGTCTCCAATTATAGCTAAATCATGGTTATGAGAACAAAACTACCAAATAAGATTTGATATGAGATAATTTTATTTAACATGTAGCAACATATGTATGTATCAAGCCAACAAGATTTCCCCATTAAAATTGGATCAGGGTTAGAAACCAAATAATTTTCATCTAAAATATTGAATGTGCGGTTATGATTTTAGCTGCTCCATCACGCACAAAGATGAATACCCAAATAAGGTTGGGATGAATGTTAGATTTTCTAACATTAGGGGAAGAAATGATTGGCAACTGAAAATTATGTGTGAGGTTAATTGTGAATTATCATCTAGATCCTCGTTAAATAAATATGTGAACTTAAAGTTCAAGGGATAATTCATTTGCATAATGTTGCAAATCAATTGTCAGATGAATGTACTGACCCTATGATATAATTCAGCTACAAATACTACAATGTGAAGTCTTTGAAGGACAGAGTCTATGATACGCCGGAAGCGTAAGAGACCAATCGATTCCAATTATAAAATTTCATGACAAAGGAGACGAGCAAATGATTGATATGGTCATAATAATGAGGCAAGTACTATAAAAAGAGCACATTGACATAACACTTCACAAAACCTCAGAAAAGGTTCAGGTACTTAAAAAAGATGAAAAATGAAGAGAACTCGATAAGTTATGTCTTGTTGAAATCAATATCAAATAACCGTGGAAGATATATTTGATATGAACTAGCGCTCAATGATATAAACTGTGACGAGGATATTGAATTCACATTTGTCATGGAATGGGACAGATAAATGATTGTCCAAGTAAAATGAATAATTCAAGTATATTTTGTTTCACTTAGAAAAGTGATGTTTTGTACTAATTGTCCATAAATCAAGTTATAATGTCAGTGCGGTACAAATAAATTATTATGCTATGGTATAATTGATACGTCTAAACTTACTTCTCAAATGAGAAGTAAAGCGGTCGCGTCAAGTAAATAACCCAACTAGTGAGGTTGGGATCATTCCCACGAGGAAAATAGTCTAGACTTAACTTCAACTTGTTATTACTATTGTTCGGTTGATGACTTCCTTAGAAAGTAAAAGCATAAAAAAGGGGGTTTGTATTTCCTAATGAGTAAAAATAACTAACGGACTTGAAAGAGACACTTACAGCTTTTAATGTTGGGTTTTAATCAATTAATCAAAGTAAGTAGGGTTTACGTGTTCCCACAGGTTCATAACTTGATAATTCTAACTATAACAATTCTTTCCTACTATCTTGCATGCAAAGTGATAAGTTATGTATTTCTAAATCCTTGGTCCAACATCTAGAAAATCTCACTCCGCACCTTGGTCCGGCTGCGTGTGTTGCTTTCCTAACCCTTATCTTTACCTCATATTAAGCATCGTATTCGATATTTGACTAAGTTATTACCTCGTACCAATCAATACTAGCCTATTAGGTAGTATACACTAAATCCATGTTAATAATTCTTTTCCTATTATCTACCTCCTTGGTCCGAAAAGTAGCATTAAGGCGAGTTCTAACGTTGATC